AAACAAATAAATGTTTATTATTAAACGGGTTTCATTATAAATCCAGATTTAACTATTTTCTCTGTCCCACATATATCAATTTAGTTGGCCCAATTACCTGTGGCAGCAAATTTTAATGTTCAAATCTCTTCATGAGATTGCAAGCTTGAAATATAGAAAACTCAATCTCTTCTCAGTCTAACCGATTTAACATAAACAGATTTCCAACAATGGTTTAAAAACAAAACATTAATTTGTATATACCATATGTTTTATACTATACATATTGTACTACAATACAATATGTTGAACTAAAAGCAGATTTAAACAAAAAAACTACATAAAATAACTTTTCACATTTCTATAATCTACACATACGTACTTATAAAATTGTATCTATAGTTTTGTTGTTATAAATATATATTGTATATACTTGTAGAGGTACTTTTTTCAATAGCCTTTTACTGACAGATCACGAGTGAGTCGTGTCAAACTGTGACGTTATTTTTATTCAGTGTTGTTGCACATTTCATCATGGAAAGACTTACGCCTAAACAATGTTTACAAATCGTTACACTTTATTACGAAACTTCACGATCTGTAAAAAATGTGTTTCGCGCACTCAACTCATGGTCAACATAATCGGCCTAATGAGCGTACTATTCGTAACACCATCACCCATCTTGAGACCCAGCAATCATTATTAGATAATATTTGACTGAATAGACCACGTCCAGCACGTAGTGAATAAAGTATAGCGGCCGTAGCTGAGAGTGTACACAAAGACCGTGGAGAGTCGATTCAGCGCCGTTCGCAGCAACTCGGACTAACAAATGGAACGACTTGGCGCATTTTACGTCGAGATCTCAAATTGAAAGCGTACAAATTACAGCTTGGCAAGAACTGAAGCCGCTTGACCTTCCCAAGCGACATTGGTTCGCTCTATGGGCTCTTGAAAAGTTCAAAGAAGATTTCTGGTTCAATGGATATGTAAACAAGCAAAATTGCTGCATTTGAGGCAAAAAGCAACCTGAAGAGATTCAAGAGCTGCCATTTCACCTAGAGAAAACAACGGTTTGGCAAGGTTTGTTGGCCGGTGGAATCATCGGTCCATCTTTCTTCAAAAATGATGCCGGTGAGAACGTAACCGTCAATGGCGACCGTTATCGTACCATGATAACCGACTATTTGCCGGAAATTGAAGCTCGCGATTTCGGCGACCAATCGCATCAATCAATGGATTAGTTAAGACAACATTTAGGTGAGCAGATTTTTTCACGTTTTGTCGGCCAGTCAATTCGCCACCAAGGTCATGTGAGACCTTTTGCTGTGGGAATATGTAAAGTCTAAAGTCTATGCGGACAATCCCGCAGCCACCAGTCGAAATGCTGAAACGAGTCATCGAAAATAGCCGGATCCAAAATTTGAAAAAGTTAATCTTCAACAAGTAAGAAAGCGCTAAGTTCGGGTGTAACGAACATTTCATACTCTTGTTACTTTGCCAGGATTAAAGCCAGGGAAATACCTTCAGATGCATACGGTTTGTTAGAACAAAGAAAATCAATATATGCAGTACAAGGTGCGTTCCAAAGTAAACAGTACAAAAGTAACAAAGTAAACTCTAGTGGCGCCATCTATATATCGACTAATGCATTAGAATCTGCTATCCTTTATCGACTTCCAGTAAAAATTTCATGACATTTCATCTATTGGAAGTGAAGTTATTCCGTTTTAAGTGTCAGTTGTTTTTGTCATCGGTGCGAAAACGAGCTTCGAACAAAGAGCCAACATTAAATTTTGTTTTAAAATTGGTAAAACCTTTACCGAAACGTTTCAATTGATGAAACAAGTTTATGGCGGTGATTGCCTATCCCGTAGCAGAGTGCTTGAGTGGTTTCAACGTTTTTAAAGTGGTCATGAGGACATAAATGAGAAATGAGAAACCCAAAAAATCGCGCCTGGAGAAATCAAAAGTGAAGACAATGCTGATTTGTTTTGATGATTCCAAGGGTATTGTCCACAAAGAATCCACCCGGCCAAAACGTAAATGCGGTATTCTACCTTGGAGTTTTGAAGCGTTTGGTGCGCCGTATTCGACGTGTTCGGCCCGAATATCGCGAGGATGGAAGTTAGCGTTTGTTGCATGATAATGCGCCGTCTCATCGATCGACGCTTGTGGCCGATTATTTGACCAAAAATCACATTTTAACAATCAACCACTCCCCGTATTCACCTGATATGGCACCGTGCGACTTCTACCTTTTCGGAAAAATGCATTTGCTGATGAAAGGAAAGCGTTATGCAGACATGGAGGCCATTCAAAAGGCTTGCACCGGCATACTGGCGGCCATACCGGACAACGAGCTAAAACACTCGTTCGACATGCTTTTGGACCGTGCAAAAAGCTGTATTAAAGCAGAAGGAGACTATTTTGAATAAAGTTAATTGATTTCGCCGATAAACCATTTGTTCTGTCTTTTTTTTAAAGTCCTGTTTACTTTGGAAAGAACCTTGTACATAGCGATATAAGGACAGTGAGAGCGACTTGGTTTTATACTATGTATTGATTATTAATGAAATGAAAGTATTTATACCTCAGTGAACAAATTCAACAGTAAACACTCACTTACAAAAATTATTGTACATTTATTCGCACATATAACAACATATCCTCTCATCTATATAATATATACTATATTGCGTTTTTTTTTAAACTTACTTTTACACATACTTACACATTTTCACGTATTTTAATATAAATCTTGATTAACAGAAATATTCTCCTTTTGAGCCAATACAAAAATGACAGCGCTTAATACAATTTTCCAAACCTATGTTATAAGCCTCAGCTGATATGAGCATCACCTTCACTTTTGACTGACTTTGGCGTGGTTTTATATTTATAAACATATATGTTTGGTGAGAGGGATGATATATGTATGAAACTGTTAAAACTATCAAACATACTTGTGAGGAGCAAGTACTCGTATTTCCATGTCTTAGAAGCTAAAGCTGCTGGCATCTAATATACGATACGATATTAAATCTTAACTTTCCAAACCAAATCTAGAGGGCCTCTCCTACTGATAATAATGCACATGTTTGTCAAACATTTAAAAAATCGGGGTTTTATTTGCCTAGCTTCCATTAACCTAATATACGGATTTTCGAACTTCCGGTTCATTTTAAACTTCTGTACATCGGTCAATCTGTGAGATACCTGAGTGCGGTTCAGATAGTATATTTTCCTGATAATGGTGTGCCATCAAATTACATGCCATAAGGTGGTTTTGGGCTGAATATGAATTAAGTCGGTCTATTACTTGATTTGGACCCCATATCTAAACATTCGTTATATATATGTCCATATGTATATAATTTATATTGGTATAAAAGTTTTAAGTAAATGACAGAAATTATAATGTGTTATGCTTAGTGCCACAATCTCGTACTCATAAAAACGAAATCTTTTTTTTATTTAATATTATATAATCTCCCTTAACTTTAATACACCTATTCCAGTGAACCGGAAGCTCTGCAAAATACCCGTCTATGGCTGTAATTGCTAAAAATTTAGAGTGCTATTTCTTGGTGAGACCATCCAACTTTTTAACCAACCTGTACATTGTGATATATTAGATATGATGTAGGAAAGTAATTCTAAATTTTAATATGGAAGACAGAAATATTGCACATAGTAGATCTAAGTACGTGGGTACATTAATTAATAAGTTTGCAACCATTAAAAACGTGAACTTCGGCTGCACCGAAGCTGTAATACCCTTCACAAGTGCATCTCTTATAGCAATTTTATACATACAAGTTAATGGCAGCCTCCACATAGGAGCTTTACGCTAATTATAAACAAAACTGTATCTTTGCACTTAGCAATAACACAGCTTCTTAATAAGCATATTTGCTTATTTGAGTAACCAATATTCTTTTTCATTAAGCTAAGACCACCCATAAAATGTAAACAATAAAACCAATTACTGAATAAGCGAATATTGTAACTGACACTTTTTGTAAGAATTAAGCATATAAGAAAATTGTATAAATAAGAGTTAATTGAAATAAAGAGATCAGTTATCCATCAGGATCACTCAAACTATCATATTTGATTTCTTCCGCGCGTTTACGGAAAACTATATTATTTTAACACTTCCTAAACGAAGGGAGTTAATTTGCAGAACTAAATAACCGTCCAACGCTATACATCCTACAGAAAATATTTTGCTAGTTCTTTTTAGCCAAGTTGTTTGATAAAACCATCTTCAAACACTCGGTAATGAAGTTTTGTTTACGAAACTACGAATATAACGTGGACAAAGAATATAGCTGCAGAGAGCAAAGAGAGAAAGGGATTGTTGTGTTAAGAGATCTGTTATGCCGAAGAGTGGGAGGAATGAGCGGAAATTGAGCTGTTTATTTTGAGTGACACCGTCAAAAGAGTAGATTTGAATTCCACATCTGCTCACTATGAATATTGATTTGGCTCAGGAAGTAAAATGGGTATATACATATTTACATATGATGATAGTGAATAAGAGAATGCTTGACGGAAGAGAATATCGGTGAAAAGAAATTTTTACACGCAAGGTCTTTACTAGACCCATGTCTGAGGTTTAAACAAAATGAGTGTGAGCAACAACAAACAAAAAATGTTTAAAGCAGAAAGTTTTTGTGTTAAAGCGTTAATTTAATTATTATTATTTTATTTTTGTGTGATTTTTCATTTATATTATATAATATTTTGATGGTTCTCAAAATCGCTGAAACATCGACAATATCATGAATATTAAACTTAAGAAAACTCAATTTGCCTTCAATTATCTGTACTGTTACAACGCTCAAGAGAATATACATTAAATGCATATATGTTTGTAGATGTCTATAGAAAAGAGTAACAGAAAGTATTCGCTACTCAGCAAACCACTTTTCCTACGCCAATCCCAGCACATGAATTTTGCTACTTTTTTACTTTTTCTACTACATTTTACCTTTAGTTGCAGATTTAGTATTATGACTCCAACGTCGACAGAAGCAATATTTTCACATTCGCCACGGTGTACCAAAGTCAGAAGCGATTCAATAGCGACAATTCAGTACGTCGGGATACCTTTAGCATTGCGGTCGTGGAAAAGATAGTCGGTGGAAGGGCAAGAAATTCTCAAATGCAGTAGACTAAAGGATTATATTGAAACATGAGAAAAGTTTGTGTTTCTGCTAAGAAAAATAACATAATTATTTAAGGAATGTGTTGAAGATAACAAAAATATAATTTTTTCACACCTGTGAACGGAGACAATTCAAAAAGTAATAAAATCATCGTTAAACAACAATTATTTTAAAAAAGCGAAGATATATAGCTGTGCAAAATTTATACAAAAAATTATTTGAAGAAAGTAAGTTTATATATTTTTTGTGGAAAATGAGTTTGTTTATTAACGCAGGAAAGGAAATTTTTAATGTGGAAGAAGTGAATTGTTTCTTATTGGCACAGCTACTTTTGTGTGTGAAAAAAATATATTTAAACAAACAATATAATGTATAAAAATTTGAATATAACCAGAAAACTAAAAATACAATAAAAATTTTATTTGAAAAATGTTTAAATTACTGAGTATAGATTAAAATTAAACAAAAAAGTTATATATACAAAAATTGAATATTTTGAATGCAAATAAATCGAAACAAACAAAAAAAATTTACTGAAAAATGTTTATGCAAAAATAAGAACAACTCGCAACCAACTTACTAAGCAGTTCACTAGTGACTGAGTGGCGAATTCGAATAGAAATTTCTTAAAACCTTAAAATATTTACCTAAATTAATAATAAAATTGCTCTTCCTTTATTTAAATCGGAAAGCAAAACTAATAAAATACTCAACATTAACCACTGAGATAACTGTAAAAATTCCCGTCTTCACGTCAGCGTACGATTGCCAAGGTTAAGTGATGTGAAGTGTAGCTCTTAGAAGCTTAAGAAAAATATTCAGCAGTGTCGGTACGTTTCTTGCTACACAAATATTGTAAAGTGTTGTTGTATTATTTTCTTCCAAAAAAATAGTTTTTTGTTAAAAATAAAACACCACTTCGAGGTGTTAATATGCTTGCATGTGGAAGCTACTTTTATTTACTGTTAGTGAATTTATAATTTATGCACAACAACAAAGAGTGAGAAAAGTTTAACTCTTTATTGACGTCAAGTAACAATCTGCAATCAGCCAGCGTATAAAGTGAACAAATCTCGTTCTGAACTCCTTTCTTACGCAATTTGCATAATGTCTGCGTAATGTTTTTTATCTTGACTTCAATTGCTGTTTGTTAAAGTTTTGCCATCTGAAGTGTTTGCTGTTTTTCGCACATACCAGAATTGTAAATCGAAAAATTAAAGAGGGAGTGTATTAAAAGGGCAAAAGATATTTTACTTTTTTTTTAATATTCAAAATGTAACATAATATAAGTGTGTTTTGGAAAGGAAATTTTGAAAAAATTATTTAATTAAAATATAATTTTAGAATACAAGTACTTATCAATAGTATCTTACAACAGAATTTTATATGTAAACTATCTAAAATAATGACTATTTATATTATACTTCGATTTTTTGAGTTAAAAATAATTGTTAACCTGCAACAGTAACAACAGGTAAAAAATATTTTTACTAAGCACGACTTAAAGTATAAATTTTGTTTCAAAAAAAATTAATTTTTCGTTTAGCCTTTGCAAATGTGTTAAATTTAAGTATAACACCAGTGATGATGTGAAGCCAGTGATTGAAGGTCGTATCAATTAAGAGAGAATTATTAAGTAAGTAGAAAGTGCTTCTGTACCAACGTAATTCATATGAAAATATGTATATTTAAGTTTGAGTCACAATCACTGGCGTTTTGTGTTTCTTGAACTTCGTGGAACATAAAGCAGCAATTAGAAAAACAAAGAAAGAATATCATAAATATGAAATAATTATTAATGTATACAATGGCTTCTTACTGTTGCGGATATTAAAAACTATTTATAAAGGTGGCTTAAAAGTTATACAATACTGATATAATTGTGAATACTTGCTTTTAACTTGACCTTTGAAAATATATTGAAATTATCTGCTCATATACTTTAAAGCCAAAAAATGTGTGGTGCAGTACAGAAAACATTTATTTCTTAAAAAGGTCTTTATATTATTTCGTGTGTGATATGAATTACCAGTTCCTGAGAGTATATATGTAAAGACCTAGATCACGAGATACTTAAAAGAGTGAAGTACGTGTTCAAATCACACGTTGTAGTCAAAAATATTTACTGGTGATGCTGAGTTATATTTTTAATACTTGACACAGTTACAAGTCCTATTGGAAATAATGAGTCACTAGCTCTCGAATAAATTGCAGAAAAATCTAGTGCACTTAAAATATATAAAACTATAATTTGCTTAGAAACCTCTTACAGTTAAAACAAAAACGCCGTTTCGTGAAAAACGTGCTTAAATTTGAAAAATATTTACTTGGCTTAGTAACATGTAACAAAGGCGCTCATATATCCGAAAATATAGCCGAACCAACTTCAAGTTTTCAAAGAATATATTTATTTGTTGTAAATTCTAATGTCTTTGTCTTAGAAAATTATAATGTTCGCAAAATCTTAAGTTGTTACTCATATTGTCTAAAATTAAAAACTTTACTGTGAAAAAAATTCCCGACAATACTACCAGACGTTTGTGCTGCTATAACAACATTCTTTCAGTATCTTATACAAATAAATAATGAAAGACTTATGAGAAGAGAAGTTTTTATTTGCTGAGGTACAATTAAACAACAATTAATTATATAACAGAGAAATTGAAATGTTAACGGTTTTCGAAAATATTTAAACAAACAATGTGTAAAATAAAAATAAAAATAAAATATTTGTTTTACATAATTTGAAATTATTTGCGAATCGATTGATGTAAGCAAAAGCGTTTCCTATATGTAAGAAGTATACATATATGACTTTGTGTAGACTGTAATCCCTGCTGATTACACGAGGGTAACGCACTAGATATAAATAGAAAATAAGTTTCAAAAGCATTTTTCGAAATTTTGGAGAAATTATTAATCAAATATACGTATTTCCTATGGTTAATTTTATATTTGCTTTCCAAAAAATATCGTTTGTAATATTTCTACATATGAGGGTTGGTCGGTTTGATGGAGTTTCGATTCCAATGCCTTATTACATTACTTTTTATTTACAAATATTTCAGTATATTATATATCTATATTTCTACTTGATGTATGTTAGTGTGCTCAGGCAGTATGCTATGCGGGAGATTTTCTGTTGACCGGATGCCGACAACTTATGTATTTCAAGTATACTTGAATGTGTCCTAATGTGTTTGCCACTCTGCCTCTGTTTATTTGTGTACTGAGCTTTTCTATTGCAATAAGGAAACTAATACATCCATTTCATATCACTTTCATAACTCAATCAATATCCGATATTTCTTTTATTTTTGGGTGCTTTTATTGTGGACTTTCTTTTAACTTATCCAAAACGCAAAAATTGTATTCCTTTACCATTTTAATGTAGCGGTGGGCATCAAGTGTATCAAAAGTATATATGTACCTATATAGTAATATTTAATATACTTTATAATGGAACCGTGAAAGTGTGATGCCTTTCAAGTGCTCTAAATGTAGGCACAGTGTAGAAGGATTTACTGTTTTCTATAATATTATTTAAAACCAAACCCTCTATCTAATACATTATATATATACTGCTTACACCTAGATTATTATATCATCATAAGTATATACATTTTTGCAATGACTAGAAATTTAGTTCTATGACATGTTTGTGTCATACATGTGATACATACATAAATAGGACTTACTCTCAGTATACTTTGATTTCTGCCCCTCAAAACTCATTAATTTGACTGATATTATATGTATACATATCTTTTTGATACCTTTTTTTTTGGTAGTTCGGTTTTGTTAATACGATGTGATTTATTCACAAGACTTCAGATTTACAAAATTTGTAAAAATATAAGATAAGTCTGAGGTGGCTTATCAATAAAAGCCTAGGGCTCTTTTCGGACAGAAAAATTGTAACTAGAAAAATGAAGTTAAGTGCAAAATGTCACATCAGACACGAGATAATGTTAATGTAAAAGAATTTTTTTATTAGAATGAATTTAGTTCAAGCAAGAAAAATATGGTATTATAGCATCAGGAACGGTTTTTTCCGATACTGGGAAAATTGCCCACATCTTACTGGTGGTTGTATTAAATATAATTAGCTAGAACCCCTGGAAAGTCAGTTCAGATATCTCGCCAAATAAAAAAGTTTTCCATACAAGCACTGGATTCCGATCGCTCAGTTCGTATGGCAGCTATATGCTAAAGTGATCTGATCTGAACAATTTTTTGTAGGATAACATGTTTCCTTAGAGAATAACTCGTGCCTAATCTCGTGAAACTACCTCGTCAATTCAAAGAGTTTTCCATGCAAGCTCTTTATTCCAAACGTTTAGTTTGTATGGCAGCTATATGCTATAGTGTTCTAATCTGAACAATTTTTTCGAAATTTACATTGGTATCTTAGGCAATACCTCGTGCCTAATTTCGTGAAGGTACTTCGTCAAATGAAAGAGTTTTCCATACAAGCACTTGTTTCCGATCGTTCACTTTGTATGGCAGCTATATGCTATAGTTTCCGTTATTGGCAGTTCTCACAAATGAGCAGCTTCTTGGGGAGAAAAGAACGTGTGCAAAATTTCAAATCAATATCTCAAAAATTGGAGGACAAGTTCGCATATATACAGACATGGCTAAATCGACTCAGCTCGTTACGCTGATCATTTACATATAAATTTTATAGGGTTTCCGACGTTTCTTTCTGGGTCTTACAAACATCGTGGCAAACTTAATATACCCTGTTTATGATATAAAAATTGTGACACTTTTTGACCAATCCAAGTATGTCCGCTTGTGAAAGATCACCATGGTAATTATAGTAACTTGAGTATTGTAAATTGGGTGGATTAGTACTGTGATATTAGTTTATTTTACAAAGGTCAAAATTCTGCAAATGAATTTGACAAATCCTGTTTCAACAAATTAAAATATATGGAGAACTTCAATTTCAAAAAACAATATATATATGAAATTTTTCTTTCATCCTCCTCTAATTTATCTCTTAATTTTTAAATTTATCTTATTCTCCGTCTTATGAAAAAATGACTCGTTGTCTCTGTATTATAACACATATGTATACCAAAAAACGACTACCAGTGGATGAAATTTCCACGCTAAACGGAAAATGTTTTTTAAGAAATTATTATTATTTATTGCACTAACTTCACTACAATTAATTTCCTATATAATTTCCAATACCTTCTGGCTGTCGACTTGTAGA